ACAGCTGCTGAGAGAGTGAATATGTTTTGCTATAATGACAGGAATCAGCGCCTTGGGACGTCCTCCTGACGTGAAAGGCGCTTTATAAATGGAATCTTGTTGTTGTTGTTGTTGAATCTTTAGCTTGATATCTACTTCTTTTCGTACTTGGTCTCACACAGATGTCTGCCTTTACCATCCTTTCATCACCTGGGGAGTCAACTGAACTAGCAAGCTCTACAAAGTTTCTAATGGCATTTGACTCTTATCATTAAATCTTGTGGATAAATAGTGACAGAGGGAGAATCAGTGCTGAACACAGCCTGGAGAATTTATCCATTGAATATAGAAGTTGCAGGTTTCTGCTCAGTAGTACAAGTAGCTAATAGTGATTTTCTAAACCCATTGTTATAAAAAGCAATTAAGGCTTTGAATTGATGCTGAAAGCCAATTAAACTGCAGAAAATCTCTAACTTTCTGCTGTCTCTGAGGTTTACTGACAAGTGGGGTATTTAATTACAGTCTATGCAGGCACAATCTGTGCGCAAAGTGTTGTAACAGTACAAAATGTGGATGGCAATTTCCATTAGGAAATGCCCTGTGTCCAATTCTAGCTGCCGTTGTATCATCTGATGAAGGCGAGAGATGAGAGAGAAGATAAGGTCACGATCTTTGCCCAATACTTTACCAAGAGTCCAAAGTGAACTTCAAGGATCTTGGAATGTCACATCCCAGGAAGATTGAAGTTACAATTTCGGGAATAATCCTCATGCATATTTGAGCAAGTTTGACGCTTTGAATATTCAGTAACTTTCATACACAAACTGGGAATAAGCGAGAATTTTAACAGAATGTAATGAGTGGATATATACTTTTCTGCACGTTCTTCCTACAACTTGAAAGCATATGATAGCATATGGGGAGAATGGCATTAGGTGGTAACTGTGAAAAGAGCGGGGAATTGGGATTAGGACAGATGGCTTCAATGGAGGAGCAAACACTGACGTTAATATCATGTGTTGAATGGCCTCCTGCTGTATCAGAGATTTCTATGGTACATTCTGCCATGAAAGGGAAAAGCAGGCAACCTGCTCTCGTGTCTCTGCCAAAGAAATTGTCCAACCAGGTGCTCAAAGGTCTACAAGAGTCTCTGATTATCCCCAGACAGTGCCCAGAGATGAAGAGAACAGATTCTAGCTCACTCCCCCTCTGTCTCAGCTGTGATTAACAAACTCAACGTTAGGTAGAAATTCCACTTGGATTTAGATTTATTCTACTGATTTAGTATTTCAGCCTGCCGAGAAGTTTGCAAATTCTTAAACGCTGTCTTAATTTTTAAAAGCCAGTTTTCTGCCAGTTTTGTTTGAAGAACTACAGAAAAAAAGGACTTCAGGGTTAAGACTGAATTCAGCAGTTTGTCAAGTTCTGTATTGCACGGAAATGCTGCATAACTAGAGTAAATTTAGACACGAGAGCAAGAATCTCAGTCCTACCTAAGGAAAACAACGTGCATTTATTTAAAAGTTCTGATCATTGACCTTTTGCTTCAGTGCTGATCTATGTTGAACACGCTGCAAGGATTTTAAAACCTTAGTAAACCTTGTCATCTGCACAATATCTAATGATTCCTTACTGGTTCAATTGGAGGACACCTTTGAGATGTCCTCTGGATGTGAAAGGCGCTATACCAAATGCAAGGACGATTATTATTAGTAGTAGTATTATTTTATCTACTGATTGTAGGGATGACTTAAAAAATAGCTGAGTGAAATTCTTCCTCCAAGGAATATAGATGACTATTCCAATGTAATGGAAATAAATTGGAGTGATTTTGGCCATACTTCTCGTCAGCAAGTTTAGTGATTTTGAAGATATGCACTTCTCCCAAGTCACAATCCCAAGTCACTTCTTTCAGAGGCAGGAATTTCACTCACTTTTTTAATCAGTAGATAAAAATAATAATAATCCTTGCATTGGATATAGTGCCTTTCAAGTTGGGAGCCATCTCAAAGAGTTTCACAGGATATACTGTAGAGTGAAGTGATTGTGCCTTTGCAGGCGAACAAGATCTTCACATTTGTGTTCAAATCAATTCACTCCCTGGCACCTCCCTACCTCTCCGACCTCCTCACTCCCCCAATCCCCCACCCGGTGCCTCCGCTCGACTGGCACCGGCTCCTGCTTGTCCCTCGCACCCTCCGCTCCACCATCGGAGGTCGCGCTTTCAGCCACTGCGCCCCAAAACTCTGGAACACTCCCTCAATCCCTCCACCTTGCCCCCTCTCTCCCCTCTTTCAAGTCCCACCTGAAGATTTTCCTGTTCAAGCGTGCTTACAGCCACCTCCCCCCACCCACCCCCCCCCCCCCCCCCGGCTCGGAGTCAGGCTCCATCACTGTTAAGCGCTCCGAGATACTACCCTGCGCGGAGGGCGCTATATAAGTGCAAGTTGTTGTTGTTGAACACGGCAGGCAAATTATGTACAGCAATGTCCCACAAACAGCCAAGAAGTGAATGTCTAATTTTATTTGGGGCAATTATTGTCAGGACACCTTAATAGTGACAGCAAAGAGCATCCACTGAGTCCTGTAGCTCAGTGGTTAGAGCACTCGCTTTGCAAGTGAGAGACCTGAGTTCAATTCCAGGCAGAGGGCGAAACCTTGGACAAGTTTCCTTACTCCACACAGAGCCTAATAATAATCCCTCCAAAACCAAAAACAATAATAAATTGGTCATTTTCAATCTACGACTGTTTGTGGGACATTGCTGTGCGCAATTGGCTGCCGCGTTCGCCCACAAATATACAGTCAATTCACTTTACAGTGTGTTCTGTGAAGCGCTTTGGGACGTCCTCCCGACGTGAAAAGCGCTATATCAAATGCAAGGATTATTATTATTATTATTAATAGAATTGCTGATTAAATTTCTTTACACCAACTCTAGTCATAAGACTAACCAGCCTTTCGTTGATATTATCATCACTATCATTATTTAAGTCAACCCGGGTCCTTTTATACCATTCTATTCTACACTCTCACTGAAAACATCTGCGGCCTTTACTGAAGCGTCTCTTTAGATAAAGAAAGCTGGCAATTGCTCCCTGCGGAAGACATGCCTTTGCCAGCAGCAATCTTCAGCTCAGCAAACCCTAGTGACAACGAATTACTTGCTTTGCAATTATTTTCCATTCAATCCCACATGTTTGAAAAAGGTTTGTTATGTCAAGAACCGAGTTAAAACAAGTAAAAAAGTGCTGCTTATTCCAAAGTCAAATGTCAATTGACTTGGCAATTAAATAGTGGACATCAAACTATAGTAAATGGCAAATCCAATTAAAGTTGTCCATAAAGCATTCAGATGAAAGGCAAAGATGTGTTTTATCTAATTATTGACTGTACTTATCGTATACTAATCGTGAAGTAAAACATAAAAACTAATGTTTTCCAATGTCAATGGACATACAGTTTATTTGATTGTTGAAACTACAGGATGAAGCAGGTTAGAAAAGGACATGATTTCTGATCAATCCTCTCGTACCACTTAAATCAAGAAACACATTGCTTCTTCTGCCTATCAGAAATGATAGGTTGCCCTAACATTGCTTCTCCTCACAAATGTTTTAATGATTAAAGAACATAAATAAGGTTATACCATTTCTAATGATCAGTGGAATGACCACTTCATGGCTGTCTGTAGGACCTTGCCATCTGCAAATTGTCTGCTACCTTTGCCAACAAAAACAGTCACTCCCTTTTACAGTATAACCTGCGAAACGCTTTGTAAACGTCCTCCTGACGTGAATGGCGCTACACCCAATGTAAGAATTATTATTTTTATTATTATTTTATCTACTAATCAAAAATAGGTGAGTGAAATTCTTGCCTCTTTAATGCCATTAAAGAAATATTTGCCTTCTGTTTTCTAACCCTCACACTTCCGCTCCTGAAATGCGGCAACTTGTGTCACAGATTGAAGCAGCCAAGTGCTCATTCTTCATGAGCGTGCTGACAGGCTACTTGACTGAAGCTGCCACAGTCGTTCCTTTTTCTGCAATCCCCACGTGCTTCCAGCTGGTATCGTTGCACAGTTATCAGCCTTGGCCAATTTAATTCCTGTCCCAAGAATCCTACTGAAGTGTTGGTCTGAGACTTTTAAATTCCAGTTCCCATCTTTTATCAAATCTAACACATTCGACCCCCTTGTTGCAAATGAAGTCACTGTGGCTTTACTGGAAGATGAAAAGGTTTTTCAAATAATAATAATAATAAAAATAATCCTTGCGGTTGGTGGAGCGTCTTTCATGTCAGGAGGACGTCTCGAAATGCTTCACAGAATTTACTGTGAAGTGGAGTGTATGTGATCGTAGCGTTTGTAAATGTATTTGCGCACAGCAATGAACCACAAACAGCCATGAAACAAATGAACGATTTATTTTCTCAAGGAGATTCAAAGGCAACTATTGCAATGGTGTAAATAAGGTGTGGTGGTTTCAAATCAAACCACATCCTGTGCCCTAATTAAGTCTCACTGCACTTGGAAGTTAGGACAGGAATAGTCCAATGTTAGCGTCGATCATTGACTCTTACTGAGGAATACAGACACTATTTACAAGAAGACTTGAGCAAACGTACGAATTTCCATAAGATAACCTACATTGATTAGGTACAGCCTCACAAGTACTGTGCGTTTTATTTGTGACATTTCCCTCCTATAATAAACTCTGCTTGAGGAAGAGAATCAATGAAGTTTTTAGCCTCCTCTTCTCTTCTCTCCTCTTCTCCACCTACTGTCTGGAGGAATACATACAACCCCTCCCTATTCCAGCATCTGAATTGAAACCCCTTTTGGTTGCACCGTTACTTTCACCCTGGCTACCAACCAGCAAAAAAACAATCAATCACAGCAGTGGACAAACCACATCAGTAACCTTGTAGGTCATAGAAACCCGATTGACGTCTCGAAAAAGTGCTTCACAGAATATACTGTAAAGTGAATTGACGATATTTTTGTTTATTTCCTGCAGTTTCACAGAATTTCTGGATCCTTTCCAACGTGTCATCCAACCTGAAGAGATCTGGCTGTACAAAAACCCCATTGTCCAATCAGACCACATACCTACTCGGATTATGTTTGTGAGTATAGTCGCTCTTAATATTTGTCAGCAGCAATGGTTGTGCTTACGGTCACCTCCCCCCTCTCTCTCCCCATGGCTCGTTGTCAGACTCTGCCACTGTGAAGTGCTTCGGGGCGCTAATCTGCATGAAGGGCGCTATATTAATGCAAGTTGTTGTTGTTGGCTGATGCATTTGTTAGGAAGACATTTGTCACACTAGCGATCGCTCGCCCATATGGTTATTCATGCTGTTACTATCACGAGGGTGAACGTTTGACTGTGAAATACATTTTCTGTGGAGATTTATGATAACGTTACCAATCAATAAACTTGATGGACAAAAATACAATGAAAAAAAACAGACCAGCCTGTGATTAAATGATAATAAATCATTGTATCTGATGTAGGGCCCTATAACATCAAAATATGTCAAAACACTTCACAATAATTACTGTTAAATGTGCTGATTTTGTATTTGAAAGTAAACAAAGCAGCTAATTAGCGCACAGCAAAGTCCCACTAAACAACCGAGAGGTGAAAGATCAGTTTATCTGGAAAAATTACTCAAGACACTGGTTCAAATACACTTCTCTTTTGAAGTCCACATAAACAGACACACACAGAGGATCTCAATGTAACGCCTCATCCAAAAGATGGCACCTCCAACAATGCAGCACTCCCCTAACACTGCACTGAAATGTCATCTTAGACTATGAGCTATCCAAAATTCTGGCAATCAGGAAAGACCATGATGAGCTGCGCAATGGGGTCTAAAACACGACTATAACTAACAAGATATGACACTAATTTCGGAGTGGAGTCCCTGAGGTCTGTTTGACATAAGTTTTGTACCTGAAGATATCCACCATTTCTAGCCCAGTGTATTAATTAGAAGCTGAGTGTATTCATTAGAAATCCCATTAGAAATTGCTATCTATGAAGACATATGAACACATTGATTTGGGCATTTATCTAGAAAGACTGCTAAATTGTGTTTAATCTCCCCATGAGTCTGCCGTACATACGTCTTCACTGTTTCGTACTTTGTTACCCTCACACTCTCCTAGTTGGATGACTAAATTTGACAGTGTGTTTGCGCTGTAGGCTCAAATTTACTTGGAAATGATTTGAGGCTGCCCATTCCATATGGGAGCATTTACAGCCGTCAGAATGAAGAGACATTCAGTGCATCTGCCTGGATATGGACGGGAATACATCACTGAGGGATAAGGAACATGTTCCAAGTGATTGAATCATTCAATTGCCAAAGAACAACGTTTACGAAAGCAGTTTAATTATATTCTAACAACCTCTGTAGAAAAATGTGTAACTACCACTTATCTATAAGGACAGCCAGCAGACATGCTTCAAAGCTCCAGTGAACAATCTATAACAGCCTAAAATGGTAGATGCATCCTGTGGACTTATTGAATGGGCCCAAATCACCTGCAGCAACTTCCAGATATGTCCAGCGTCAAAACCAATTACTCGCCTATCATCGCAAACCTATGCAACCATCCATGTGTAACAGCCATCTCAGAACAGATTAACCGTTTTTACTGCAATCTGCGGCCTAAAGTCTTGCCAAATCATAAATTGTACACTGGATGTTGTGCGCTTAAGGTTGATGCTATATTTGGGATTTAAGACAAGCCAGGGATTGAATTGGGTGGAAAGCAACACATTACTATAGTATTCTGGCTCTCCTCTTTTTAACCGCAGATTTTGTGAACTGGATTGCAACCCTAAGAAAATATGCTGAAATAAACACAGAGAATTATCGAAGCACACTCAGTCAAATCACTCAGTTTCTAGTTATTCTTTAAGTAGCCAATGAATTCATCAGTAGCCTTATTGCCTCAATTCCACAAATTCAAGCCTCTGTGGGAAGCATTGTTTTAATCTCTGGTTCCATCCCACTTGAAACTGTAATTTTAAACCCACACCCTCTATTTGTGCTCTCATGTTCCAAGTCAAACACTTGTTGACGTCTATACCATCTGTACCTGATATCGTTTTAAAAGCCCTAATCTTCCTAACTAAGAGCTGTCGAGTTTCAGAATCATCCTCACCTCAGTCCAATGTGTCTATGACCCTTTCAAAGTAGAGTTTTCCTGATGGGAAAGGTGCTATATAAGGCAAAATGTCAAATTACTGTTGTTGGGATGTTAAGACAGTGACGGTATTACGCCAGGCTAAGATTTTGCGAGTGCAGTGACATTAGCTCTCAAACAAAATTGGTGTTGATGGTTACAAAAATCACAAGATGGCATGTGAATTCTGTAGAATTCAGCTGTAAGAGTGCTGTTTATTGAGCGTGGGGCCAATAGTCTCTGTTTATAAGAACCAAATGGACATGTAATGAAACTGTAGCAACTATTATAGAGGGGAACGGTTTCATTGCGAAATAAGGGTTCGCATATAGCTGATTCAAGCATTACAAACTGACAGGTTGACGAAATGGAAAAAGCACCAAGTTCAAAGTCAGTTAGCGTTAAACAGCCTGTTCCAAATGGCAATGCTTTGTTTTTGTTATTGACCCAGAGACCAGGATTTAACAAATGGCTTACACCACATGCCTTTTTTTCCAATTCGCATGAAATTGACTGCTTTATTTCATGCAACTATTAGGCTGGCTGTCAGTGCACACTGCACTGAGAGATGAGATGTCATCCAGGAATTTGTATGCAGCTGAGAATGGGTTTCCTTTGAAGCAACCAGACACCGTCTCTTGAGAGGAAGGGTTAGTAACTCATCTGGAGGTTGGGAAGAGGAGACCAGCAAGGATGGAACTGAGGATGGGACAGACTTGAGAAGGGGAGGGACAAATTTGAGGAGGGCGGGAAGTTGCCAATGTAATATAGAGAGACACAAGATTGATTATGTATGGGGGTGTGTCAACGGAAAGATGATAAGGGCAAGATTGTCTTTGGAGTAGTACTTGAAAAGGAAATGAAATTGAGAGGCATGTGTAATAATAATAATAATAATCCTTGCATTTGATATAGCGCTTTTCACGTCGGGAGGACGTCCCAAAGCGCTTCACAGAACACACTGTAAAGTGAATTGACTGTATATTTGTGGGTGAACGCGGCAGCCAATTGCGCACAGCAATGTCCCACAAACAGTCGTAGATTGAAAATAACCAATTTATTATTGTTTTGTTTTGGAGGGATTATTATTAGGCTCTGTGTAACATGGGGAAAGGCCATATTTGGCAATGAGATTGAAACTCAGCAAGGGTCTGGCTGAAAAAAGCAGCAGTGGACAATGTGATAGATTTAGCCTCATTGCTGACTCCACACCCTTTCTCCCCTCTTGTTTTTTTTAAAATTTATTTATAAACACACTGTGGGCGATGCCAACCCTATATATATATATATATATATATACACGACTAAGATCGAGGCGGGCAAATCACGCCAGGTGATGTGTCAATTATCACCAGTGGTCACAAACACATCACACGTGGCAATATTTTTGGTGCGTCTCAACAAACGACTATACCAGCAATTCATCTAATTTCTTCCAACCACTAGATAATAGCAGAACACAACACCACAACCCCCGCTCCCCCACCTCCCCCACCGTGCACATAAAAGCATTTCATGTGGTGTTATTGCAATAGAAATTTTAGTCCTGGAGCACCAACACAGTTTATCTTATTTTATTATTTTCTTCGAATCCACTGCTTGGGAGATGCAGGTTGAGTGCAGACCATGTTTGCTTTTTCACTCGACGATGGGTTTGTACAGGAAATACTATAAAATGTAACTGAGTTGACCCATATGTGGGCGTTGAGGAGCTTCTATTCTGCGTCTGGTAATTAATTCTGATTTCAGACCCCACAATTGAGAGACATAGATATACAGAGAACAAAGTTGTATTGCAACCAGGATGCCTGATGATCTACTGACATCACGTCACTGTTTCATGTTCTTCACACCCCTTACGCAGAGGTGGAATGAGTCAACACTTTGATCAAAACGTTGTTCCTATCTGCTCGTGCACTGTGGGTGCTGACTTAGAAACTTGCAGAAGCAAGGAAGGCAGGAGTTCAACGTGGAGATCCATTTCCTGTGATCCATCACAGTGCAGATAGGCTATTTTTTGAGGTTCGTCAGAAACCCATCACCATGCCTACAAGTCTCCATCCAAAACAAGCTGACAATTCCACACACGTGTGCCTGTGTCTGGAATGGAAAGTACACTCTCTCCCTAGAGGGAAACACCCTATTTACCTAATTCTGGAGACCATTGGGCTGCTGGAGTTTAACCAGCTAAAACCGCACAACCTGCCATTTAAAGTACCGTCTGGCAAGTTTCCTGCTGCCTGTCCAGGGACAAGCACCTGTTTTAGAGTTTGGGATACCAGGGTTAACAGGAGCCGAGTGAGAATTCCTGCTCCGATTGACTGATCTGCCAGGCTGAGCCAGGCGGCTGGTCTGTCATCAGCAGTGATGACTTGCACCTAAGTCCATCAATCAAGTGAGGAATGTGGAAATGACTCCAAAATCATCAGCTCCCCAAGAGTTACTGATGATATGTAAGAAAGTCAATACTAATTCGATTTCTAGAGAGTAAAACAACAGGGTTGAGCTAACAGCGCTGCGGTTTTTGTTGGCATGGAAACAGCAATGTGAGAAAATGTACCAGTAATTTTTAAAGACAAGAGGGTTAAAAGTTGAGTTAAGACGGAAACCCATCAACAGGCACTCAAATGTTGGGATCTGTACATTGACGGAACAAACGTGTCTTTGGCTGGCTCAGTAATTTTCGGACAAAGACGCATGTTAACAAATTCAGGGAGGGAGGGGCAGTTATCAATGGGCTGTCTATATGAGTGGAATATGCACTGTTGGCATGAACATCACTGGTGATAATTATCACATCATGGATATAACGCAGCCAGTGTTTCAGGACACTGCTGTGCGCAATTGGCTGCCGTGTTTCGCCCACAAAATATATAGTCACTCCACTTTATGGTATATTCTGTGAAGCGCTTTGAGACGTCTCGAC